TCTGTTTGTGCTGAGCACATAGAGCAATGTTGTATGTCTGATCTAGCACTAAAAATTTGTTGCTGTGCTCCTTCTGCTTAGTCTGCTTTATGCCTTTATGCTTTATGCTGAAAGCCTTTTGAAGTCTATGGGTCATTTTCTTTTCTTCATATTGTATGTTGTTTATAAATGAATTAGCTTCTTAGCTAATCTGTCACAAATTTAATTATGGTGCACAATCACAAGGGACTTGATTTTTCCTGATACCAAGCAAGGAACTTTATTGAATAAGGAAAACAATTGTGTATTTAATTCCAGTTTGGTCTTTCTCTGTTTCACTGTGGAGCTACTCCAGTCTTTTATTTATAAAAGATCAAAGAAAAATGTACCTGGATAAAAAGAGTCGTTGTGTGTGTCTTCCTTGACCACAAGAGTATGCAACACCCTGGAAGTGATGGAAATTATATTTTTCACACTTGACAGAAGAAGAATTATATTCGAGCATCTTGGATTGTTTCTCCATACTAGACCACCACCTTTAAGACAAGGAGAGTCTTGTTATAGCTTTTTTAATCTAATCTTCTGTATTATCTTCTTCCTGAAGTCTTTGCACTTGGACATGAGCCTCTGGATGTTGATATTCCTGCTCTGTACATAGACATGTTGTTGAGAGAGGTTCATCTGTGCCCAACAGCACTTTCTTGCTGCTACTTTTTCTAACCCCTGTTTTATTTGCTTGATTCCAAGGCCATTTTGTTACAGTTTTTGTGATGACAGGTTTGGAATTACTCCTTCCCTCACTTTGCTAACAGTATACCTACAGCTACACTTTTTCCCTCTGTAGCTTGCTCTATAACATTCTTTAGGTAGGGATGGTTTTGGGTACTAGTAAATACCACAGTATTCACTTTGCATTAGGTTCAGGATTTGCTAGACCTTTGTACAGATGTTATATAGGTAATATTCTGTGTGAGCATTAGTAGGTGAGAGAGGCTTGGTGGAAGTTGTGCTGCTGTTTTCCCCTATCCTACAGAAGGTGCTTTCTTTAGTTATTTAGGCAAGTGTTTTCTCTGCAAACATGGTCCCTTCCCCAGTCCTAAACTATTTGTTGAATTGTGTTAGTGATCTCTGGGATCGTCAGCTACATCTGACTATCCTGATGGGAGAGGTACTCAACAGTTTAAAGCCAGGAATCAGTACTAGTTTTGCTCCTGGTGAACATGATGGCAAGTTTATGTACCTGAATGTCCAGGTGCAGGATTTCCAAGGGCATTAAACCACAAGCTATTCCATCTTCCTCTTCTTTCACTCTCATTCTTGCTCTATTATTTTCCATCTTAAAAAAAACAAAGTAGCATAAGTGGTATATGCCACAGAAATATGTTTGTCACACTACATCACTTTGAACTGCATAAGATCAAAGAAAATCAGTGCTTTGATAACTTGATTTGAAAGGGTTGTAGAAATAGCCATCATTATGAATCACAACAGACAGGAATGGAAGAGATGGTGATTTTCAAATAGCAAAGCTTGTAAGGTAGGGGAAAATGCAAGGTGGGTGCCAATGCCCTGTTCTCATCTAAAAAACCCAACTACACCACTGTTATGTAGCTTTGCAGAATATGATTTCTTGAGGATATGAAGAGGAATACTCTGTGTAAAGAATGTGTTTCTGAGGAACAAGGAAACAAACATGGGCTCAGGAAAAGGCTGTAACAAGGGAGAAAGCTATGTGTACTGCTTGGATGGGAATTTCTTCCACCTTCTCTTCTTCATAAAACCACTTCTCCTGAAGATGAAGGGCACCCAAGATTGCTTGCTGAGACCCTCCTCACCCCAGAAACCTTCAGGTTTTATGGATTGGATATAGGGAGGAGGAGATAAGCTCCCCAGTGCTTCTGTGCTTTGTCATTCCTCTCCTGAGAAAACTCTCTGTGGACTAGAATGAGCTTTTGGCTATAGGAGGCTGCAAGAAATTAGGCCTTGAAGTGGTGACTTCTCAACTGCAAACATTTTACTTTAGGATGTTGGCAATTCAAATTGGACTTTAGTTTATTCTTGCCTTGAGTCTAACAGATAGGAGTTGGCGCATTAAGACAAACTAGCAGCTTGTGGAGTGGCAGGGAATGCACAGTGGTAGCTAGGTGAAATCAGTGTGTCCCACTCATCCGCAGATAAGTAAGCTAGTGTTGGCTACTGGGGAATGTTTATAAAGGTTTCAGTGACATTGAATTAGGAGATTTCATTCACAGTCAGACACAGCTTTATGAGTAGTACTGGTCCAAGCACAGTGAGCTCGAAGATGCAGGTATTTAGTAGTCTCTTTTTCATCCAGTATGAGGTCATGACTGTATGTAATGAAAGCTCAAGTTGGAGCTATTTGATGTATACAGACAGATGCTTCAGTGTTTTTCAATGATAGGAAATTCAGAGGTGAATAGTAAGGAGAAAGATTCAGACCCTTCACTTTTAGCCAGGCTGGCACAGAACAATGTACTGCACTGACATGTTGCTAACAAACATCCTCCCTGAGGGCTTGTTCCCGTTTAGCTTGGGAAAGGGGAATGCCTTCTTAGATTTCATCTTGCTCTGCGAGGAGTTGGCATATTTCTCTGTTTCCTTTACAGAGGGAAACAGATTTACCGCTGTTGTGCTTTTAAAAACATGGGCTTCATAGCAACAGTGTGTGTACTTTCCGCATACATCTCTCATGGCTACTAGTCAGGTGAATGTCATGTCTGATGAACAGGACTGGTATTTCATGTCTCATCAGCTGTTTGAAACCTTCACCTTTATGTATTAATGCATTTTAAAAACTGAAAAATACAGTTCTGTATGCACTACATAGCACTGACACTGGGCTTACTACCAGGTGTGCCAGCTGACTTCATCTGTAACAGCATAGTGGAGCCAGGACTGCGTGGAAACTCGTTTAACTGACCACTGAGGAAAATGCTTTTGTTGAGAAAGGAAAAGAACAGGAGAGAAAAGACAGGAAAATACATGCCTTGCACTGAGGGAAACAGGAAGTTGTTGGCTTGTAAGTTCTGATCCTGAGCCACAGTCATAGGTCATCTTTTTTTTTTTTTAACACACTGCTGAATAACTTGAATTTACTCTACTCTTATAAAAGGGATGCTTTCATTCCTTCTACCCTAAAAATATTACTTTGTGAAAAGTGCTGCCAATATTTACCATAAAACATTTCTACAGTGATGATAGTTTACTGTCATGATGTTTGGGTTTTCTGTTTGATTATTAGCTGAGATCACATTTTTCCATTATCCATGTTGAGTTACACCACTTGAGATATATGTTTATACTTATGCTCTGTTCTTATGAATGGTAAAGGAGGAGACATTATCATAATTATCTCTTTCATCAACTGACCTGTTTATATCATTTGGCTTTTTCAAGAAACTGCATATCCTCTCTTCAAAAAAAGAAAGGGAAGGGGAAGAGGGATATGGAGACAGGACATGTCCCACACTGATTCACTTGATAGTGCATATTGTGGAGAATCAGTGCCCTAATAGCTCTGGAGTGTGGAAGAGGAAGGAATTAGCTAATTGTGTTGGTTATATTATTCCAATTATTTTGATTAGAGCAGAAGAGACAAGGTAGCATCAGTCGATGCAGGGAAGGAGGAGTTTGATTTATGTCTAGAGAAGATGAGCTGCAATCTCTCCTCAAATCAGAATAACTTGCTGGGGAGAAAAGATGCCGTGAGTGGGAGAAGTTACATAATCACACTAAATTAAATATTGACAAAAGCAGTCAGTCAGTTCACTTCTATCTGAAAAACTCTGTTTAACCAATACTTTTGCTGTAAAAGTGATGCACAAAGATTCTGCTAATCAGTATTTCTAACCAGCTGCAGCAAAGACCATCAGCACAGGCTGGAGCAGAGCTCTGGTCCTATGGCTGTAGCTGTAAATGTCATATGGGGACATTAGCATCTGAAGGAAAAGCAGAAATACTCTCATGTGTGCTGTGTCAAAGAGGTGTTGTTAACTACCACAGACATCTCGTTGTATCTTATCCAAACATTTTTAGCCCTGCATCCTGAGCAGGTTGTATAATATGACTGTGCTGTCTGTCTTCAACAATCCACTCTAATATTATTTGAACCTATTGGCTCATTTTAGTCACTGTTGAAAGAGAGAGGTGTCAAGTACATTGAGTTTTTATGTGTTTTGTGAAAACAGGTGGTCAGGTGAAGGAGAGCTCTGCATTAGTTCTTTCCAACTAAAGCAGCAGCTTTTGAATACATTTCCCTCAGGGACTCCACGCAAGAGGGCATGGGAAAAGGCAAGAGATGCAACTGTGAAAAAAGTATCAGGTAGACCTCAGACCTTGTAAGGCACAGGGTAATCCAATCATAAGGGAAAAAACCTGCAGAAAACTGAGCTGTGTCACTACCACTAGTTGAGGAACCACTCATTCTCAATGGGGCTGCTGCTCACAGTTATTATTCATGGTGTGACTGTGGATTGCCCTGGCTGTGCTAATGCTGTGGCTAAATCCTACCTGCCAAGTCAGCATCCCTTCTGGCTGTCAGCAGGAGCTGGCTTGCACTCCTCCAGGCAGGCAGTGCTGGCCCATTCTGTTGTGGGGAAAATGGGAGCTCTCTGGAGCAAGCACACAGTACGTCTGTGGTCTGGTGTTTTCTGTCTAAGCTTCAGGGCATCGTTTTCAGATAGCCATGGCTTTTAAACACCCGGTGTCTCAAAGTAAGTCTTCTGCCTTTGTTTCTTGAGAAATGCTAAGTGTCCTTTGCTGTCTGAAGTCTTTGTCACAGATGGCCAAGTCAGTGTGTGCTTTTTCAGTGCTAGTCCAACAATGCTGATACTTATTCCTCTGTTTTTTTAGGGAATGAGAAACGTCTCATTGATAAAATAAATAAATAAAATTTCAAAAGGGTCTCAGATGGAGGAATAATTACTTTTCTGACTCCATTCTGAGAGTGTACCTCTGGCATGATGTACAAACCCAGACTTTTCTCCCTCTCTCTTCTCTAGGCTGTCAGCGCTCCATAGGTTTGTCCAATGGGAAAGCCAAGGTGTGCAGCTACAGTGGATGGTATTACTGCAGCACCTGCCATGTGGATGACAGCTTCCTCATCCCTGCACGGCTGGTTCATAACTGGGACACTTCCAAATACAAGGTAATCACCCTGCAGATTGGTTTGCTAGCAAGTGAAGTGAATTGCTCTTTAGATAGAAACACAGACATTGCAACAGGCTGAAGGTTACAGGCACTGACTGCTAATACTGTCTTCTTTGTCCCTCATGTCAGAATGAGCCATGCTCACTCAGCAAGACAGATATCTTCATCACAGTTTCCTTAGCCAGGCCTAGGGTGTTCCTCCACAGGGGCAGCCATGCCCCTCTTTCTTGGTGGCATCATTTTCGTCATTGCTTATCTGCTTGTTCAAGAGACAGACTGCAGGTATTGGGGGCTTGAGGAGTAGCTGATTCATGAGTGATAGGGACTGCTTAGTGATGAATGCTGAATTGTGGAAATGCCCACAGGAAACTGGTTTACCCAGACATAATGTTTGTAAGGCCTGGTATGTCCTGTCTCTTGGCATAAGCATTTTGAGGACACTAGGTGGACGTTGCTATAGCACTTGATTGGACCAGGCAGACAAAAGTAACATGAAGAGAAAATTCTGCAGTTGTTCACTTGCCACATGAGAGCTTTTCTAAAACTTCCAAAATCTGCTATTTGCTGCTGCCTCAGTTGCTAGATAGGGGCAACTGATTACATGCCTCAAAGCATTATACCAGCTAACAGTGTTGTTTTGCCATCATAGGCAGGATATGCTGAAAAAATAACAAACTCATAAGGAATCCAGTCCATGCTACAGCTTCAGACCTAGCAGACAGTGTTAGGAGAGGTTGTTTGATGTTTTGTGTCTGCGAATATTATTATTATGTGCTATTTGAAAAGGAAAAAAATAAGCAGTAAATGCCCTATTAGAGGCAAAGCAGGTCTCTCTTGAAGAAAATTTGTTGGATGGGGAAATTATTAAAAGGTAGCCAGAGCCTGCCATCAGGAAAATGATAATCTTGCACCATGAAATGCAATGCTCTTCAGAGTTATAAAGCTTCTATATGTGGAGACAAAAAGCTCATGCCTAGAAACTGGGAAGAAAATATTAAAAAGTTCTTTTTTGGATGCTTTTACTCAAAGGACTAAACTTGCTAGCTCACCATACTATAGGTAGTCCTGATATGAGGCTAGAGAATGGTAGGGCAAAGACCTTATATCAAGCTGTTAGTAATACTGCCAAGAAAATAAATTAGGGTTTTTTCCTAAACCTGCAGGGTAAAAACTGCTCTGTGCTGTTTCCTGTGGTTTTGGTATAGGCAGCTGAGGCACAAAAGAAAAAGGGACTTTCAAGCTTAAGCATTCATTGAAAACTTAATGTATTGTCATCTCACTATGCTAGTGAGAAGTTTCATTTTGCACTTTTTGTACACAGGCAGAACAGGCATGAAGTGGCTTGGGAACACAAGCAAATTCTGTGCAGATACTTTACCAGTCTTTGTGCCAAAGTGCTAGAGAGGTGAATTTAAGAAAGGAACACAATCCCATAGGTAGGAAAACACTTATAGCATCCCCAACTATTAGAGAAGAAATTAAGACAGGCAAGGAAGATGAAGAGGACATCATCTTCCACAGTGGCAGTGTGACAGCTGAGTTGAGGTGACTGGTTGGATCTCCTCAACTCCATCCCATCCATGTATAGCATTAAAATAACAAATAGTTCTTGTTACTTTAATGAAATCTTCGGGGTTTCTCTGCAATTCTTTTTTATTCCTGTCTGTGCTATACCTCCATGGGAGCTAAGCATTGCTCTTCTGAGATAGAGTGTATATTTGTCTGCAGTTTCATATCCTCGTCACCTTTTTCCATTCAGAGATAAGGTCTGGTGTTTATTTCTTCTGTATGGTCTAAAAGACAACTTATTGTTGGCTGCTCTACTTACTAGTTGAAATGAAACTGCATAGTTCCTTAGTAGTGTATTGAGTAAATGTGCAATCCCAAGTGCCAGTACAGGCTGAGCGGAGAAAGGATTGAGACTGTGAATAACCTGGTCTGGTGGAAGGTGACCCTGCCCATGGCAGGGGTGTGGAAGTAGATAATCTTTAAGGTCCCTTCCAACCCTTAACATTCTATGATTCTCTGATTTGGCAAAAGCAGATATCTTGTGTCACTTCCTTGAAGGGATCCTGGTAGTAATAATTTTTTTGGCTTTATTTTTAAAGGAAGATCACTTAATTTGTCAGCATTTCACCTCCCATAATTGGCCAGTGTGCCCACACAAAGATGTGCAGCAACATCCCAAAATTAAGACAAACAGAGCTTCTCCTAAACACACAGCCCTGTCCCTCATAGCAATTTCTGAAAGTGGAGCTTCTGCAGTGGAAACTTGCTCCTGGCAGCACTTGTAGCACACCCCAGAGAGGTCCTGCAGGAAATAAGCACATACCACACTTGATGGTCAGAACTGAAAAAGGGCTGCATTCTTCAAAAGCTTGTGTTTCACACAATCTGAAATGTGCCTGCCAATCCACCAAATGGAAGCAAAATTGAAAGAATAGTTTGAAAACCTACACTCCTTCCCAGTACCACCTTTTCCCTGACTCCTCAGGGGTTTCTGGGGTCTGTCCTATCTGTTTCTGGCAAAATAAGCACCAGTAGGTACTTGACACAAGCTTTTACGGTGTAATTGGGCATGTTTCTCTTTATGTTTCATGGACTCGACATCTGAGCAGCAGCTGTAAACTGTTACATCAATTAAGTAAGTTTTGAAATGGAGAGGTTCTTGTCTGCTATTGGCAGCACAGGTTGTGGAAGAACAGAAGCAGTAAAAATCTGGAGGTTGTCAAAAAACAGCAGTACACTTAACACTTGAAAGCACATGGGTTGGAAAAGAAAAATCCTCTTGGCTGCAATAAAAGCTCCTTGAAAGGACTTGGCAGTTAGGCGTGTTTCTTCTGTCACAGCCAAAGCAGCAGCTTAGTCCCCACGTTCGCTTTTTCCCTGTCTCCTTACTGTTTTCATATTTATGTTTATGTGAAGGGAAAAAAGAGGCAATCTTGTGAACACCTTTGCTTGCTTTTACTTAGGCCAACTGGTTTCCCTGTTTGCACGCAAAACCCACTAAGTATTGCAGTTTGGTTCAGGTGCCTTTCAGCCTGCACAAAATGCCAGACAAACATAGCAAGAAATGAACTCCTGTGCCAAGAGGCTTCAAGGGAGGTTGACTTCTGGTAAATTGAATTCTGAACTGTAAGCTTGCAGGCTCTAGAAAGGAAAGGCCTAGAAATGTTAGCATCTATCCTTGTATGATATTTCAAGCTAAAACTCTGTTGCACTTTGCATCTTCTCACTCCTTCTGGCTGATTTAATAGGATTGTCTTGTTTGTCCAGTAAAATTCAGGACCATGAGTATGCTAGGACATATGCTAGAATATTGGCTGGCGGTAACCTGAATTACTGTGACTGCCTTGACTCTTCCCATTTTAGGACTGCATTTCAGATTCTTGTAACTTCACTATTGTTGGCAATGTGAGTTAATGTTTTACAAGATGTGTGTGCCTGTGTCAGGCATGCAGAGCAAACTGACACCTCTCTGTCAGCCAGTGATGCTGGGTAAAGCCACTTTTCCTGCAATCAGCACTCCACAGGTACATTGTATTAGCAAGGAGAGAGAAAGGTTTGCTTTGCTCTTCTCTGAAAGGCTGCATTCAGACCATGCTGCACCAGAGCCACACAGGAATACTTGTCATCATAGTGCACATCTATGTCAAAGTCACTCAGGGGACCTCAATTCTGGAACCTGAATGTGCATAAGTCCATGGGTCCTGATGAGATTCATCTTCAGGTCCTGAGGGAACTGGCCGATGAAGTTGCTAAGCCACTATCTGTAATTTTCCTGAAATCCTGGCAATCAGGTGAAGTCCCTGATGACTGGAAAAAGGGAAATATAACCCCCATTTTCAAAAAAGGGAAAGCAGAAGAACCATGGAACTATCGACCAGTCATTCTCGCCTCTGTGCCTGGCAAGATCATGGAGCAGATTCTCCTGGAAGCTATGCTTAGGCACATGATAAGCAAAGAGGTGATTGGTAACAACCAACATGGCTTTACCCAGGGGCAAGTCATGCCTGATGAATTTGGTGGCCTTCTATGATGGGGCCATAGAATTTGTGGATGGGGCAGAGCAACTGATATCATCTACTTGGATTTATGCAAGGCGTTTGACATTGTCCTGCACAACATCCTTGCCTCTAAATTGGAGAGACATGGATTTGATGGGTGGATCACTCACTGGATAAAGAACTGGCTGATGGTGGCACATAGAGAGCTGTGGTCAGTGGCTCATTGTCCACGTGGAGGGCAGTGACAAGTGGTGTCCCTTAGGGGTTGGTGCTGGGACCAATGCTGTTCAATATCTTTGTCGGCGACATG